TTTTTAATGGGAACATTGCATACTTAGGCACTTATTGTGGGCAAAAATTTTCCGCATGACATGCCCAAACCCTGACCGAATTTATGAATGTGAAGATCTACATTTTCCCATGATGTATATCATTGGGTTAGTTTACATTTTCTTCTTGAGATGACAAGACTCTTGAGTTGTAATCCATCTTTTAAAAGAAATAACTAAATAATTGGATATCTTTGATATTGGCCATACATTCATTCAGGAATCAACTTCGCTTATCTTTCCTTTCATTAGTAATTATGATGTGTCCTTTATCCCCACATTTCCTGACTCATACCTGATAACATCTCCAGAGTTCATGGCTCATGGTCACGCTAGTAGAGTTTGCATATTATCAGGTAACTGATTCCACTGTCTGGAGTCACTGAGCCACCACACTGCATTCACAGATCTTTTTGCTTGGCCACGTAATGGAAATAGACAAATCATTTAAGTAGCTTTGCCCCCAAACCTCCGTGTGAGAGCTGAATGTAGGTCATCACAGACAGGCCTGTGAGGTGAGATGCTGCAATTTCAGGATCCACTGCCTCCTGCTTTCCACATTTAATCTCAGCCTCTCTAAAGCTCTCCTTCCCCTCCTCACCCCGATAGTCTCAATGAATATTTGCCTTCCACATAAGAGAACATTTTGAACATTTGGGGAGCATATCTGAAACCCCTTTCCAGACCACATGCCACTTAGTCTTAGGTCTTGTACATAAGGAGGGCAAACTCAAAGAGTTCTACCCACTTGCTCATAGTTGAGCAAGGATTAGACCAGTTTACTATAATCTCCAAACCTGTGGATCCGAAGCCTGACTGTCAGCACCCCTGGTTTAAACACACAGATCCCTAGGCTATCTCAGGGCAGTTCCAGGGGTCCTCGTGGTCTCCCTCTACAGGCCACTATCTGCTACTTGTGGCTTGCTTTATTTTCCAGGTGGATTTCAGTGGAGAAAGAAAACGGATAGCTTTATTTAGCAAGCCAAAGATGGGGCTGCTGCAATCAATCTTACAGTATTTTATCCTGAGCCCCCACTCTTTCCGGAAGTGCATCGTTTGCCCAGGCTGATGACTTGGAAAGAAAAGCACAAATGGGTAATGGCTGCAGAGATGGGCTTGTAAATTTCACCTGGGGTGTAAGGGAGGAGAAAGGCCTGCTTTACAGCATTTGCTGATTTTCATGGTGTAAACACTCCTAACATAGCCAACTATGTTGGCTTAACAACCTGATCAAATTTCTGAATACTTAATTGTTGGTCCTTAGCAGATTGTAGCATTCTACTGGTTGTGGGATGAAGGGGGGGGGGGGAGCCTAACAATCTTCTCACATTTATCCAGATTGTTCATGTGTTTCAAATTGGTTGTAAACTCCCCCAAATATTTCTCTTCTACTCCTCAAGGTCATGCTCTGATATGGGTCAGGGCATAATAAGGCCATGGATGAGACACATGGAAGGAGCACTGAGTGGAATAAAAGTGGGTGCCATTTTCAGGATGACTACTCATGCCTTCTTACCTGCCTGATTATGGGGGAGCCACCCTATGCTTGAGAGAAGGATTATCTTAGCAGAACTTGCAGGGCCAGGGTTGTAGTAGAAAATGAAATATGATTTAAGAGAGCTTGGCTCTGAGCCTGAGAGGAAATAAGAGAGCTGGGTCTTTCGGCACCACCTCTGCCCATAAGAGAAAAACACAGACGGTCAAATCAAAGTGCAGGATCAACATTAGCATGTAGTTTGCTACCAGAAGGCTAAAGATGTGACAGGTCTGCCTTGGATCCAGAGTTAAGTGAAAGGGACAGATGGGCTTCTGAGGGCCACCACATGACCAGACCCAGCAGCGCACGACCCTCGCTAGTTCATTGTCAGTGACTGTTCTTTCACCTGGCACAGGAGCTTCTGGGCAGCCCACTCATCTTGGGAAACTGGGTACTGCTGATGGCAGTTTGACTGACTTGGTCTGGACGTGCTAACATAATAAACGCCACCACATGTAGAAGTAGCAAAACTAAATGCAATGATGCTAGAAGCACTGACCATTTTATACTGTTTTTGGTATCTTCTAGAAGTTGGAATAAATATGTTTGGGGTATCTAAGTCATCCTTGGGCTTCCTGAGTAGCCAACCACAACCCAGCGCTATGTTAGGATAAACTTGTTTTGAGTATGTTTTGAATATATAAAGACAAACTTTCACTCCTGTTGAACTCATTTGTAAAATTCAATGCCCAAATAGTCCTTCTCCCAACTAGAAAGACAGATGTTTCATCTATCTTCTAAAAAGGCGAAGTTAAAAAAAACTTAACTCCCAAATGAATCATCAGAGAATTGAATCACAGAACTTGTGATTTTAGTATAAATGCTTCAAAGTAGGTATCATGGGGTAGATTTTGAGTAAGGAGATCAGATTTTATTTACCAGTTATGAGATCTTGGTAAAGTAACTTAGGAGTGTTTTCTCATGCATAAAGTGAGAATATTTATGCTTAAATTTCACGGCACACTTCTGACCATGCTCTAAGCATATTCTGTTCTCTATCCTTAATGTTTACAACCACCTTTATGAGTTTTTAAGTTGGAATTCATGCTTCCAAAGAGATCAGGAGATGAAGTCAGATATGACCATGCAAAGCCTTTCCACATATTCATATTTGTACATTTTTATCGGGGTTCTAACTGGGAACACATGAGAATCTCAATATCTGAGGAGAAATATAGGAGAGGGAGAACAGAGGTGGTAGGTGTATGTAGTTTGGAAAAGCTTCCATTGTGATTCTGATCTTTATTCCCAAGTCTATCTTGTATGATACCAATTTCAACAAAAAGACCAAACCTCCAACTTATAAAACTGATTTGGGTGTTTACCCTATACTAAAAGTAGTTGAACTGAAAATGAACAAATATTACCTTCTATTTTCCAGAGAAATGAAACATGTTTGTATACAGTCTTACACACAAATATTAGTTCCAGACTACAAACAACACGAAGTCCACCAGTGAGTGAATGTATTAAAAGGGAACATACGTTCCAAAACATACATGACCCTCAAAAGCATGCAGAGTGAAAGCCAGATGTAAAAAAATGTCTCTATTTACAAAACTCTCACAAACAAATCTATACCAAACAAATGAGTGATTGTCCTGGGTACCAGAGATGGAAGGACAGAAATAAGGAGATTCATAGGATGTTGGGAAATGGAGCTTGGTTATGGTGCTGGTTGGACAGATGGATCTTTCTGAACTCATTTTAGACTTCCTAAAAGTTTGCCTTAAGAAAACTAACAGTCCCAGTTCTTAAGTGCAAGCAATCTCATGAAACTCTACTTAACCTCCAGGTCAAATGTGTGTCATCTGAGATGCTCCTGAGTATGAGTGACAGAGCAGCTATGGCCACAGAGCACTCTCCCCTGGACCACTGAGGTGGGGAGGCAGAAGTAGCCCAAAGCTATTGTCACACACATGACTGATAAGCTCAGTCTCATAACCACACCCAAACCCACCTCACACGATAGGTCAAGTTTATGTGGCATGCATTTCTCCAATGGATGTACCCAGATTTTAGTCTGTGGCTTACTCGATAAAATAATGAGTCATGCACAATTTCCTGCAAGCTAACTGGAATTCCTTTCTTTACTGTATAGAAATCAGTGGTCAACCACTGAAGACTAGACCTCTAAACTTCTAGAGAGACAATAAATTCCAAATTCATTTTGCATCCAATATGTTTCTGTACATGTGTGCACAGAAAGAATAAGTGGTGTATACTCTAAAATCCAATGATGTGCTAATTACATCTTTTAGTTTATCGTTAGTAATCCTATGTAATTTTATCAACAATTTTAAAATATCAGTGGAACATAAATAAATACATACATACAAGTTTTTTACGGCCTCATGATAATGTAATTATCTTTCAATCGATGACTTGCAAAAGTCAACCTTACTCTTGATTAAACTAAGCACTTTAGAACAAATGGTACTTTTCTAACAAATAGACACAGATATTCTGTATTTTTTATCTTCAGCACTTATTGTTATAAAATTTTTGTATTCTATTTTATGAAATCCATATTTTTCAGAAAATTAAATTCATCATGATTTGCCAGATAAAAAGTGAAACAACAGAATATGTCCAATGAGTGAAGATGGATAGCCAAAAAGTTGGTATTACAATTCTAAAAAATGAATCTGCATGAAATTCTTCATTTTTCATACATTTGTACAAAATTATAGTGAACTTGGTTTTATTACATTTAGAGAGCTGCAAAAGAAGCATAACATTTGATTAAACTGTTATGAGTAGAATGTTTCTAAAAAGTAATTATTTGTTCCATTTAATAACATATGAAGAAAGAAAACACTGGAAACAAAATCGAAACACGATCAATTTTATTTCAAAATATCTACAGTTTCAAATCTCCATTATACAAATTTTTCAAAATCTAGACATTATTCAAATGTAAGCTAAGGTCTGTATACAAATAATACACACAACAAGCAAAATATACAGTTTCTCAGCAAATTTTTTTATATAAATAAGAAAAATATATATGGCTGGTATTTTCATCTAAAGTATAATACTTAATACTGCAATCACATACAGCAGGTACTTAAATAAAAAGACTATAGCAAAAGTTTAAGAAAGAGAATTTCATTTTATGACATTGATATTTATAAAGATACATATACTTTTAGGGGAATATGAACTGCGTACCTGTATCTTCATTTTTATTTCACTTTGTCTACTTTTTAGACTACTCTTTGAATATGTGACATTTAAAACTTTATCAGTTATCCCTGATATCTAATACAAAAGTTAGAACACGTCAAGAACTGTAATATAATCTATGTTTTTGTACTTCAGGACAGATAAAAAACAATTCTTTAAAAATTAAATTTGTCTGAGACTTAAAATTTTCCAAGTAAATTCAATTCTTTATTGAAAAATCAGTTTTTTTTAAAATTAGTTCTTTTTAAAGCAATTTTTTAAAGTAAGAAATGTTAGGGGATAAAACCTAGCACATGAAAAGCCTCACCATAGGAAAGCAATAAAGAAAAACTATGCTTTCCATAGATAAATGCAACTCAACTAGCTAGATGTTTAATTATGTTTTGCCCCAGAAATTTTCCTTCCTTTTCTGAGCTCGAGCCAGAGTTTGAAAAGCCCGAAGGCTAGAAGCTGCAGAACGTGCAGAAATTTCAGATAATCGGTCCTCATCTGCAATTAGAGAATTATATTTAGTGCAAAAATATAGATTTTATAAAGCACTATGTTTTATAATATTAGCAGAAAATTAAAACCATTAAGATTTGTAAATTCAATACTGATGCTGTGAGAAAATAGTAATCTATTAAAATATAAGATATTAACATTCCCAGGAAATTCATAGTAATTTTCTAAATTCACCATATTTAGAAATCAAACATTTTGATGTTAAATGAGCATTCTGCATTTCCTTCCTGAAATCCCATAATGTCACTACCTATGCATATGGCCTATGATTTCAATATTACTTGAAAACAATTCATCATCATACTATCTTGTCCTACTTTAAAAAGCACAGCTGTTCTGAGCAAAAGGCTTTCTAAATTTTTTAAAAACAAAATTTCATTCCTTAAACATGGTATTCACATCACAGTCCTAAAATAATCTCACTGTGACTTTTTTTCTGAGAACTGAAAATTGATAAGCATTTGGGGGAAAATGATGATGGCTATAATGCTAGGCCATGATTCCTGAGCCCCCAACTAGTCAGGCTAGAAAAACAGAAAGAACCCTTATTTGGAGTGTGACACAAGGCACACTCTTCTTATCTGTTTGCCCTAAAATAATTTTTCAATGCATAGTTTCCCAGGTGTCTGCTTTGTAAAATGGGGATCATTTCATTCTTTGCCACAAGGTTTCAAGAACTTAATGAAATAATGTCTATGGAAGTATGCTATAAACATAAAATGCTAATAAAATATAAGCTCTTATGTTATCATAAACTACCATATATTAAAACCTCAAACTTTTATCATGTTATTTGACTATGAAATACCTTCATCATTAAAGGCTTCATGCTGAGGTAACTGGAAATTGTTCGTCCTTGCTTTTCCCACTAAAAAAAAAAAGGCAGAAGAAATTATTCTTCAAAGTCACCCAACAGTATACCCTTCTTATAATGAAAGTATGCTGATAAAAATTTTATTAATTTTATAACTTTAATGAAACTTATTATCAAAAGGACATTAATTTATAATGGGCTTATAAATATTTAAATGAATAGTGGCTATCCTCTTTGAGTCCTTTTCAATGATAATATCAATAAATTCTTATTCTAAAGAGATAAACAGACAGTACATGAAATAAGAACATAATGCTGTGCGATCTAGAGTATATAGAAATTTTTTTAAATCTTAGATATTAAAAACAGAGCCAAGTATTCTTTAAAAACTTGAGAGGTTGAAGATAAAAATTATTAACCTCCCAAATTAAAATAAAAACAGGGATGGAAAATAGGAGGAAAGAAAAGAAAATAATATTAGTTTTAACATGTTCAATATCAGAATAACAAGAGTGCCAGAATGAGTAATCAGAAAATAAAGGGGAAGAAATAATTAGTAAGACAAGAAAATTTCCCAGTAGCGAGAAACATGTTTCCAAATTGTAAAGGTCTACTAAGGACATGCAAAATGAATGAAAAGAGAGCCATTTTAAAATGTCAGCATTATTAGGTGTAAAAGGAAGATCCTAAAAGATGTTAGGGAAAAAAAGTAAACCACATGTGAGACTGAAAATCTTTAAAAGAGCATCAAATTCTCAACAGTAATAGCAGAAGTTAGAAAAGAGCAGTGGCATGTCTAACAAACTAAAGGAAAATAATTTATGACCTTGAATTTTATACTCAGGCAACATTTGACAATGTCTAAAGCCATTTTGGTTATCACACCAGAGGAAAAGATGCAACTGGCAGCGAGTGGGTGGTCTGCACACGTACAGGACAAAACCTACCAGCTCACACCATAAACAAAAGTGAGCACACAGATAGCACAACCAAACGATTCAAAGATGAGATTCTTCCTATTTAAAGACATTTATCACATCAACTAGAAAAGCTAAATAACACTATTAACATATAGTACAGGCTTACTATACCTATCAATCTAATACTTTCATTTTAAAAGACAAGAACATTAAAATCAAAATAATTACCATTATGCTGAAATTCTGGATTCCTCAGAGAGCCCTGAATTCGACGGGTGGGATTCCAGTGGAATGAAGTATACGGTGGAGGAGGAGACTGCTGGGGTGTGTTTGCTGGATATTGTAAAGTTTTTGAAACTGGAAGAGGTACATCAGCAAATTTGGGGATATTGGTTTCAGAATCTTCCCTCAAAGGCAGGGGATCAACTGTCTTTATACCAGCAGTTGGAGAAGTCAGGAGAGACATAATACGACTATCTTTCTAAATGATAAAATAAAGATAAATACATATGCATGCGTACATTTATAAATAAATAGACAAAACATGTAAACACAAAAAATAAAAGCAGTAGGAGAAAATATAAGTGGAAAATTTACATAACTGTCAAGTAGGGAAGATTTTATAAGCCTAATATCCAATATAGATAAATATATTAAGCTATGTAAAAATAGAAACATTATTAAGTTTGTTTAAATGACAAACTTAGGGAAAATATACAATTTATATGGTTGACAATGAACTATTACCATGTTCTCTAGAAGTCTTTTACAGTAATAAAAGGGTAAACCTAATTAAAAAATAAAAAGGCTATTTATAAGCAATTCACATATATATAAGGAATAAAGAGCTAATAGCAAATAATTTCAAAGTAAAACACTGAGGCACTAGTTTTTACATCACCAAATTTAAAAAGTTAATTAAAAAAATCAAACTTAATGCTAGAGCCGGTAAGTAGTGAAATGGGCGCTCACACACTCGTGCTGGAAGCACTCTTCAGGGGAGTTGCCAAAACAGCAAGAGTCAAAATGTCCTGTTCTTCAATGTCACTAATACTTAGGGAATATTTACAAAAACATAATATGAACAAAAAGTCGCTAAAGGATGAATTTCTTTACAGCATTTTTTTCAAGGTATGAATATCAAGAAACAAAAAAAATAGCCATCTTATTTCAAACACAAGTTCAATAATAACTGGTGGGGGGAAAACTTTACTATAACTCAATTGCATTATCAAATCACTATTAAAATTTGTATTATAAATGTTATTTAACAATGGAAGTATGTTCACAATACATTGTTAGCAAGACAAAATAGATTACGAAGACTTTTCTACAGTGTAACAAAACATACAAACACACTATTACATAAATAACTCAAAAATTCAACAGCAGATAGCCCTGAACAGAAGGTATGACATCATTATAATTATTATTTTTTTTTAGTTTGGTCAGTATTTTCCATTTTCTAGTGTAAACAATATAATGTATAACCATCATTAAATTCTGTGTACTTCTACATTTTAGAAAAATGTAAACCAATAAAAATACAGTTTCAAACTTTCTTGCTTATTCCTTATAATTGTTGCCTTTAGTTACTAACTTCTAGGTTTATCAACACAATGTTCAAGTTACTGCTTTCTAAATTTGAGGTACCATTTTCTTCAAATAGAGAGCTTATTGCTTCAAAGAGGAAATGGCCTAAGGTCTCATCCAACAGATGTATATTTTGATCATTACCTAGTAGAAAACCAGAAATCTATTTCTTGACTTTTTAAGTAAATCACTTAGAAAAACTTCATGTTTTTTTTTTTCATCTTTCTGCATATGTACAGAACTTGGAAACTGTCATTCTGGCTTTATTATTATAAAATAAGCCTCTGTTATCTGTAGAATATCTGAATGCATGGGGTTGCCAAGTTTAAGTTAGCAGTGACTTCATGATCTGTTTTGAACCTAAAGCTTCCTTATTGGCTTCACTGCCCCACTCGCCCCAATACAGACAGACATCTCTACTGAGTAGTCAGACTGACTTCATCTATCACATAAATCAGATCATATTTGTTTCCAAGAATTTCCCCGTCCTGGCCGCCTTTCTAACTTCATTCCCTACTCGGTCCTCCTCCCTGTTCATCCCCTTTGAAACTCTCTCTGTTGTACAGTTGCATTTGCTGCTCTTACTACCTGGAAAACAATCTCTGCCCCAGATCTCTGCATGGGGAGAGATTATCGAGGTCTGAGCTAAAATGTCACCTCCCTGCAGGTGCCGTTCTGATGGCCCAAACTAAAGCAATCTCATCTACTCTTGACAGTCTCTTGCTGTTTTATTAACTCAGAGCACTTAATACTACCTTAAATTATCTTAAAAAAAAAAAACTGCCTATTCTTTCCAATAAAAAATGTAGGTTCCATGAGAGCATTTTGTCTTATCAATGAATTCCCAAATCCTAAAATAGTGCCTAGCATATAATAAGAACACTTTAAATAATGGATACATGAAAATGGACTTCCAGCTAGTCTCCTCGAAGAGAATAACTTGTCCAGACTTCTCTCACTCGGTGCAAGGCACACCTTTCCCTTCAACCTTGTTGGGCAAGCCAGACACCTGGGGTCATTCATGGTCTCCCATTCCCCATTATCCAGACCAGTGCCCACAGAGATTTAATGATAACCTGTCATGAGTGAGGCTCTGTTCCAAACACCAAGCTGGGGGCAGAGAGGTACACACACACTGTCTCTCACCCCTCCCTGACACCTAAAAACTCTCCACTGTGCTCTCTGGAACCCACAGTGATCAGCAAAATCCCTAAAACAAGTCATCAGTCACTTCCATTTAAACCTTGTACTACTATAATTGCAACCTCTCCATAATTTCAATTTCTGACCACCACCTACTAACCTTTAAAACTAATCTCCCAGGTACACCAACTGCCACAAGTCCTTCAATCTGCAAGGACCTCCATCCACTGATCCTGTCACTTCTGCCCAGTATTTTACCTTCTCAAGTCCTATTTTCTCTCTGTAACCCATTCAACTTCAATGCTCAGTCATCATCTCTTCTCTACATATACCTTAGTTCCCCAGCCTCCTTTCTTCTTTTGGCTTGCTCCCTGGACAGACTATGAACCCTATTTAACTCCAACTTTCAACCTACCCTTCACCTCAGATGCCATTTGGGCTGAAGAGAAACGACCCATCCTGACTAGTCTCACATCAAATTTGTGACTACAAACTGAAAATTACCTCATACTCTTACACTGCAGTATTTCTCATGTTCTAGGCCCACTCACTCTTCCCCTCTCTGAAAAAACAATTTGATACGTTCTCTTTCCTCAAATCTCCAACATTTTCTTTACTAGCCGCATTCTTTCTTTATGTATGTCAAGAAGGAATCAGAAGAGACTTCGCCCAGCTTCTGCCATGTCTTCCTATAGTTCATCAGCAGAGCCCATGTAGTCTGCTTGCCTTCTTTAATCTGTTAGATTGAAGCCCACTGCTCATAAAAATCCTTTGTCCTTTCCCCTACTCAAGAACATCTTTCCAACAATTTTCTTTTAATTTCTGTAGTACTTTTTTTTCTCTTAAAGCTGTCCTCCTCATCAAATGTACTATTACCTCCTTCCACCTTGATCTCATTTTTTCCAGGTATCACTCTGTCACTCTGGTCCCCTTCAAGCAAAATTCTACCTAAAGAATTATCTGCGATAGCTATCTCCAATTCTTCTCTTCTCCATTCTTTCCAAATGACTTGTCTTTAGGCAAAATCTGAACTTCCAAATTTCCCTCTGTCAAGGGGCAATAAAAACCTCCATGTTCCTAATACGGTAATTCTCATACCTTACTGACCCAGCAGTGGCAGCGATTCACCACCTCCAGGTCAGACACTACACTGGCTGCCCCTCTGCAGGCCCTTAGCTAGTTACTCCTCAACTTGCCACTATAAAAACCTGGGGCTCAAACCTATCTACCTGTATTCTCCTCTACACCTACTCCCTGTTCCCTCCTAATCCCAGGACCTTACATACCTCTGCCATCTTTATAATAAAAGAGTCTCAAATGATTATCTGTAGCCCAAACTCCAAACTCTTAGTCAGCAACCTACTCAACACGTATATTTGTATGTCTAGTAAGCTTCTCAAATGAACATGTGAAAAACAGAACTCTAGACCATTCCTGATAAGTCATTTCCTTATACTGTCTTCCCATAACAGCTAAATACCAATTTCAGCCTTTAGGCTGAGGGCAGAAATCTTGAGTCATCATTAGCTCTTATTTTTCTTCCAGCCCAATATCTTATCCATTAGTGAATCCTGAAGTATGTCCAGAATCAGGCTACATTGCATGACCTTCACTATCACCACTACAAACCAAACACCAACACAATAATCACCTCTTGCTGGACACTGAAATTAACTCTGACCTAGTTTTACCCCTACTGTCTACTGTCAATACAGCAGCCAGAGGGAACTTAGAAAAACTGAAGTTAAATCACTTCACTCCTCTGTCCCTCATTCATTCAGAATAAAGTTCAAAGCCTTTGTTATGAACTACAGGCTTCACACAATTTAGCTCCTCATTAATTCTGAGTTCATGGCTCACACTACTCTTCCTCTTGTGCTCTCTTCTCCAGCCACACTGACCACCTGATTGTTCCTCAAGGAACAGAACAGGTACCTTCACACCTTGAGACCTCTACACTTGCAATTCTTTTGTGTCCCGGGTACTCACTTCTTCCAACTCTTCCAAGGCCAGCCGCTCGCTCAGTGAGGTTTCCTATCCACTTCCCCAGCTTTATTTTTCACTCTTGTTACTTATCACTATCTAGCATTATTTTTCACTCTTATTAAATTATCACTATCTAAAATATTATGTATTTTACCTAGTTATTTATTCTCCCTCTTCCAACTAGAACAGAAGCTCAATGACCACCAGGATTTTTGCCTGCTCTTTCCCCATTATGTCTCCACAGCTGAAACAGTGCCTGGAAGACAGCTGAAACATGACTGTCACATAATATATGCTCAATAAACAGTATTTTTTTTTCTTCTCTTTCTTCCTGTTGAGTCACTACCAAAAAGATTTGAAATTATATCAGCAGAAATACAAGGCCACTCCCAGAAAAAAAATTCAGTGCATTTGCCTTACTAAAGTAGGTTAATAACTATCATCTCCGCTTACCTTCCTAAAATCATTCTTTGGAGTTTCTAAGCAGTCCTGAGAGGCCACTGTTTTCCTGTGTTCTGGGACTGGAGGCTTCACTTTAGATGGAGACACTAAAACAGCACCACCTAGGAAAACACAGATGATGACATTTCAAACTAAATTATCATATAGAAAAAAGTTAAATAAACTTCATGGTGTTCTCCTATTACCAACAGCTGGAGTGGTAAGATCATGATGCGTCCTTTGGATTCCACCAAGTTCTCTCAGCTTAGGAGTAGGAAGCCTACCTCCTTTTCCTGAAGATACAGAAGATTCTGACCTACAAATTAAAACAATCTGTTCAGAGCATTTCCTCCAGAAAATATAAGAAACACTTTGTCATCATTATGTAATAATAAAGTATACAATTTGTAGGGTAAGATTCTGTTTCTGGGGGGAAAAAATAAGGCAGCTGAGTAACTGAATATTGGAAAAAAGGAAGATCACTACAAACCAAAAACAAAAGATGATCTAAATTCCATGTTAGTTGCAAAACTCATGAATAGATGATAAGGGATTTAGACTATGAACAAAAATCAGTATTACAGCAATTTCAATTATCAATGATAGAAAATCATTCCCCAAGGCAATCTGTAGTATAAATCCACAGGAATAGGCTATTTGCTGAAATCACTTTTTTAATATTATAAAGCATTATATATATTTTTGGTATTTCTTCCAGACACTTTTACAAATCTAGCAAGTCATAATTATAATTAGCAAAACATAAATGGAAAAAACTACCTGTTCCCCAAGCATATACTTACCAATTAGTTGTGACTCACTACCTAAGTAATTGAGTTAGAAACAGAAAACCTAATTCATGACATTAAAGTAAAATCTGTTCTTTATTACTCATAAAACTAAGAACATAAACCACTATTTTTAGTGGCAAAAACAAAGTACACATTGACAGGAGACAATATTTCTATGTACTAATTAGCTTAAAACACTCACTCTTCTTTTATCTTGTCTGCTGGAGAGTTTTCAGATACTTCCAACCTCTCTGGTTCTCCTATAGAAACCTGCTCATCCTTTTTCTCCTCTTGCTCCTCTTCTCTGGGCTGTTTCTGTACATCTTCATTGACTTCACTGCTGTTTTCTGCATCCCAAGCCAGACGCCTTCTCACAGGTAAGGTGGGCATATCTGTCACACCCAACTTCTCCATGGTATTTTTCTGGGGCTGTTCTTCCAAGACAGGACTTTTTTCTTCTAGTTTTGTATAAGGGCCTTTCTGCAAAGTCTTATGGGTTGTAGGGTCTCTGCATAACAAAACGAGTTTAATTTTAAATTTGACTGGCTTGAGGTATCTAGTTTAGGGAGCCTGTCATTTCATTCCACTGTTCACAACCATGTTTCCCATAGATACTGCTTCAGCTAGATATTGAAGAATTTGAAGAATTCATTTTATGGTAGAATAAATTAAAGATACAATCTGGAGTTTCTATTGAAATATTCCCCAATGTACTAATCTCCTTTGACTCCTACCTTCACATATACATGCCTATACCATTGCTGATAAAACTTATACACAGTCCCCAAACTGGCATTTATACCCAGAACAAAACCCGTCAGGGTCTAACTTGTCTAGTTCTTCACACACAGGATTTGCACAAAGCTCAAGTATATTTGTGGATCAAGTAATTTGATCAACTGATTCAAATGCTGTACTTTACATAGATTCATCTTTTTTAAAGACATTGTTAACAAAAAGATTTTATAATGAACTTTTAAAGTAAGATGTCACATAATTTGAACTGATATTTCAGTTTGGTATACATAACTATATTAATATAGTGTAACAACCAAGAACTATTCGATTTGCTACAAATCAATGTGCTATTTCTCTTATATTTAAATCATGTTCACTTTAAGACCCAAAAAAGCAGAGAATTCTCCCAAAGCATCAGGGGTTATGTTTCATATTAACCATAAATATCCTATTTAGTAACAGGAACATACTTACAGATTACATTCTCTAAATTGTTTTTTGCCATTGCTCCTTTTTTACTTTCTTTTTTAAAGTTTCTTTTACATCTATCATATATCCCTATTCTATTTTTAATTGTTAACAATGTTATAAAGTACCATCTTTCAGACTCAAATTATGAATTATTTATCCACAAGCGTGTAAATCAAGTATGTAGAGCTTTGTTTTGTAGAGAATAAACTAAAAATAATGAATGTTAACAAATGGCTGCATATTTCCACTTAACCAGAGGACAAATTTTGAGTGGTCATGTAATTTTTCCTATGTAATCCTGTGATCTACATAAGCCACAACATACTTTCACCGTCCACAGAGAACATCTCACCCAGCAAGATCTAGTGCTCTAATGTTGCTACTAATGGTTCCTTCTGAGCTTGTGGTTGAGGAGACATCCCAACAGCGGTTTTTATCAGACAAAATCTGATTCAGGTGGTCTCGAGAAAAATGCGTTCCCTGAACGCGTTTCCTATAAAACTCAGCCTTCTCTCGGAGCTCTTTAACCTACATAGGAGAGTTGAGAAACATCCTGTGTTACTGTAAATACTCCTTTGCAGAGGTACCCAAATAGTATGTTAAAGTTATGTTACATAAATACTGCTAGACACCAAGGGTAAGGCAAAAATAGCCACAAATGTTCATCAGACCATGTGCATTTTTAAGCAGACATTTAGAACTGTTAAGCCAAAGCATAATACACTTATTTTATTTCAAGCCAGCAAGCAGGGGGAAGTTTGCAGCAGCTAGGAAAAATACTGACACCTACTTCTTACTTCAACTGAAATTACACAAGTGCTCTATGCATTATTATAGGTTTTAAAAAGTCAAAAGCAACCAACCTCCGCATACCACACAGCATTTACAGAATCCTAGGGGAGGAATACAGAAACACACTTAATGACAGGTTAATGCCATAATTGAATATTAATGGCAATCAGTGAAATATCTTAATATTCTTCCTTCTAAATATCTACCAAACTTGTCGCTCAATATTTTTTTAGTATTTTTTTAATATTTAATTCAGTAACCAAGATATCTTAATATTACCTTGAAAGTCAGCCACATTTTGGCATGATGGATGCCACAGTGACAGGTAACTGATCCTACTTCCCATTTCTATAAAGAGTACTGATAACTAGAGTACCTTAGTCCCCATCTTTATTTCCAAGTTTTATATGCAACAGCTACTACTATAGTCTCCACAACAGAGAAAGTCATGAAGCTTCCTCAACATCTCTTTGGAATCAGCAAAAACCTCAACTTTAAAAAATATATTAAATACAGAATTGTTGTTAATACCACAAGATAATAATTGTAATGTATTCAACAGTGACATATACAAAAAAAAAAAAAAAAGATGTTCCAAGGAATTATAAGGTGATATGAATTCCCTAAACATATGAGAAGGAGCCTTTCATTACTCATTTGAAATCGTTTAATTTGACACAACATACTGCCACCTGCTGGCTTCTCTAAACACAATTCTGTAATATAAACAAATTAAGTGGCCCTTTAAAATTCTATAGTAAAATACAGAATCTTAGCACTATCTGGATCCAGACATAATCTGAAAAATTGCTTTTCTTATACTTCATGACAAAAAAAGCAAGTATGAAACTCAGCATTGCAAAAGTAAGTGAGGAAACACACCATCAGTGCCTAAACGAGACACTACTAAATGCAAAGGATGAAAGTGCTACATCTCTAGAGAATTAGCCAAAGTGAAGGGCAATGACTGCCATAGTAGCACAGGAACTCATACAGTCCCAGAAAAGTCCTACAGCTCTATGAGTCAAACCTGATACATGCTTTAGAGTAATTCAAAAATATGGTTTTTGTACAGCCAAAAAAAAAATGAGCATTTTCATTTATCATTTCTGTCAATTCCTGTACATTAATGAAAATTACTAGTAGTGATTTTTCACTTAGCAGGTAGAACTGAGACACAGGCTATTTGCTGAACTATAAATCACGGTATTTTGTATGCACAACACTTATGTGCTTTAAGATGATCCAAATTTTATTTCTAGTAAGGCCTCTCCATACTTCAAATGTTTCATGGCTACTCCATCACGTTATGATCAATTTACATGAAGAAAATTCCCTCAAAAATGGGAATTCTTCCTCTGTGTCAAAGCCCTTTGTGCTTATCTCCATTAGTACTGACAGTTCATTCTAACAGAATTAATAGCGGTTCTCTCCCATTAACTTGTGCACTCCTTGAGATGAGGGAGAAAGTAACATTTAAATACTGACTCTCAAACTGTCTAAGGGTGAACTAAGTGCTAGGCCTCTGCTAGATGGCTGGTAGCCAAAGATAAGCAAGAAAGTCCTTGCACTCAATGTTCTAACAGTCTGGTAGGAAAGACAGACCTCCTTTATGATAAATTATTATCACAATGTTGGAATGGTGTATGCCTTAATAAACAAATGAGACAAACTGAAGTAGCAGTTCAAAAGGGAATCCTATCGGCCAGCACAGCGCCCAGGGTGGAGTAGAAAGGCTGCATTGTGCCCATGTAGAAGGACCTTATCACTTGATGAGATGGCTGCACACGCCCTCCTGTACACGGTGATCCAGTTTTGATGTCAATTTTTTGGCATCAGAAGATGAAGATACTTGTAGAAACTCTGAAACTTCAGTTATTTCAGTTCTATTTGTTAATGGCAAATAGAAACTCAAAGTTTTCCTTTACTGGCAATTTTTATTAATAATCTTAGTGCTGGTGTTATATTTTACAAACACATGACTTTAGACTTTTAAAATCCTAAATTAAGATGCAATTTAGGTTACTATTTCCCAAAAATCAATGTGAAAAATGCCAACAGATAACCAGAGCCACTAAAAAGGTACAGATAAACCATTCCAAACCCAACTAAAACAACACATACACCCCTCTACAGTTTAAATAATGCCATCAGATTATATAATATAATTTCATTTCTGAATTTCTTTTCCCAACTCAAGTTTCAATTAAGTTGTTCAAAATTTACATGAAGAAAATTCCCTCAAAAATGAAAAGAAAAACTTTTTTCCAAATAATCATTTCCCCTAAAATGAAGAGTTATTTTATACATAGTGCTCCTTTACAGTAGCTTCCAAATGACAGAATGTACCTGAAATACGGAGATTCATTATGAAACAAATTCCTTTAATTTAGTTTACTCATACAGAAAAGACAGAACACCAAGATGAGCTTTAAAAGATGTTAATTACGCAATCATCAAAAAGCTCCAATGTTTACACAGTGACTATAAAAGTACTGAACTAGAACTTCCCAACTCTATGGAAATTCTTCCCCTCAAACCTTTCTTTAGGATCCTCAGAACTTCTTCCAATGTTAACATATTCCAGCATGACAGCCTACATCTCCATCAGCACAGCCACACCTTTCTTGTTCTATAGACTGTAACAGTATCTGCTGATCTGGCTGCTGCTGGCAGACAAACTAATCTTAAACACGAATGTTGAGTGGAGAGCGGTGGATTGAACATTACAAAACTGTCAAATCGGTTAACAGTATAATTCTATTTAACACAATCAAGTAACTGTTGTAAAAAAAAAACATTTTTAACTTTTAAGACCTTACTAATGATAAGTATTAACCTGTAAGGTGATAGTTATTTATTAAAAAAGTAAACACACTGATAAGTTATGTCCCAATATATACAAATTTAAATTCCTGATACTTTTAGCACTTCATTTAGTATCATCTATCTTTATAGTCCCTTTTGCTAAATGAAACTCATTGTAAAATTAAACTATGATACAAGCACAAAGAAAATGTCAACTTACTGAGCTTATATATACTCACCTGATTTGGTATGTTTTCCTTCACACGTGTCCAAGCCCCAGCTTTATATAAATACTGGGCTGGACTCAGAAACTTTGCTCGATATTCAGAATTCACCTTCCTAACAGAAATGAAATGAAAGTAAATATTTCATCATGGTGATCACCTAAATGCGATGATATTTTTCTCATAAAATACATACCCAAGTCTTTGATGTCTCCAAGGAGTAAGCTTTTTTTTAGGCTGGTTTGAGTCTTTTAATTCCATCTCTGCTTCTAATTTTAAAGAATCATCTGTTTTATTACACTAAAATGAAAATTAAACTTTTTATGCTTAAATGTTATAAGTGGAAACATTGATGCTATAAAGTATATTTGGGTACACTATTATAATTCTGTTTTAACTATTAAACATAACAGAAATCATAAGCAAGAGCTGAAACTAATAAATCTAGTCACGCTTTTAAGATATAGCTCAGTATATAGCTTCATTTTCTAACAATAAAAATCTTAGACCTAGGCCCTCCCTGGTGGTGCAGCGGGTTAAAGCACTGCACTAAGAAGCTAAAGCCACTTCCACATGAATTCGATTCCCGCCTGCCCCCGAGGTGACCACATGGCGTGGCCAACCTCTCCTGACCCGCCTGCTGCTCCCCTCAGCAGTGTACTTCGTCAATCTGCCTGTTCTGCTCCCCACTCTGTCTCTGGTGAAGCCTTTCGCCGCCCCTGAGCCTCTGGCCTGTACCCCAGTTCTGTATGCACAAATAAATAAATCTTAAAAAAAAAATCTTAGACCTTAGCTAGGAAAAAATTTTTGATAAACATATAATATATAAGTAATTTGATGTTACTACCTATTGAACAATGGTCTTACATTTTGCCTTTGATAGTCTAATCTGTGCTACAGTAATTAAACAAGATTCTGATGAGTTACACTACTATACTGAGTAACCCAACAACTCTTTTTCTTCCCCAAAACAAAACAGGTTAAATATAAGTACTTATAGCAGACTTACTTGCTGTAGAGGTAAGTATTCATCACTCACTATCATATTTAGCTATTTACATCTCTGTCTCCCAGCTAGCCCAAAGGCTGCTTAAGGCTTTACTGGGTTATTACTGTATTCTCACTACCTGCCAAGTGCTCAGCTCCCGCTAAGTAAGTAGCCAACAAACATCTGACACTATGAACATATGAATTAATAAACCAACTAAAAATAAATCTCAGGTGGTGATAAGTGAAAGATGTTTAGAATCTAAAATCATGAAGGTTTATTTAAAAGAGTCGACAAATACCTTGTTTTCAGGAGATACTGTTTCCAGGTTTCCGTTCTCTTTCAAATCATTTCTTAATTTTGGTTCTTTCACTGGAGATAAACCCTTGAAATTTCTTTTGTATTCAGTTTCATGGATGACTGAATTACCTTTGAATTGTGGAATGAATTTGCTTTTATTGTGGAAAACCTTAAAACAAAAATTATTTTAGTATTGTCATTTGCTAAAGATACATACAGGTCATCTTTAAGTCCTTAAAGTAAAAAAATCACGTGTCAAGTTAAACTACATTTAATTAAAAAAGCAAAAGTTACAGATGATTGTAATTTTATTTCACATCTCTCTAACATCCAAAGGATAACAAAAGCAAAAACAGACAAATGGAAATTTATCAAACTGAAAAGCTTCTGTACAGCAAAGAAAACAATCAACAGCATAAAAAGATAAGCAATGGGATGAGAGAAAATGGGCCTGCAAGTCACACATCTGACAAGGGATTAATATTCAAACAGGAAACTCAACTTCAGAGCAAGAACACAACCCAATCAAAAAACAGGCAAAGTGGCATAAAAACAGAGAGAGATCAATGGAACAGAGAGCCCAGAAATAAATTCACACATATTTGATTAATTACTTTATGACAAAGCAGTCAAGAATGTACAATGAGCAAAAAGTCATCTTTGCAATAAATGATGGTGGGGTAAACCAGCCACATGAAAAAGAATCACACTAAACCACTAACTTACAGCATATACAAATTCAAATAAAAAATGGATTAAAGACTTGAACATGAGACCTAAACTAAAACTCGTAGAAGAAAACCTAGGCCATGGGCTTTGTAATGATCCCTTAGATCTGACAACAAAATGAAAGGCAACCAAAGTGAAAATAAACAAGAGGAACTACATCAAACTAAAAAAACCTTCTGTACTCAGCTTTTTGTACAGAAAATAAAAATGAACAAATGAAAAGGCAATAAAATGAAAGGGCAGCCTATCAAATAGGTGAAAATATTTCCACATTTCCACATTCATGGCAAGGCATTAATATCCAAAATAATGATGAACTCATATGAGTCAGCAGAAAAAGAAATCCAAATTTTAAATGGGCAGAGGAACTGAATACACACTTTTCCAAAGAAGACATATAAATCAACACACACATAAATAGATGCTCAACATCATTAATCATTAGAGAAATATAAATTAAAACCTAATGAACTATCACCTCATACCTATTATAATGGCTAGTATCAAAAGATAGAAGTTTAACAAGTGTTACCAAGACTGTAGAAAAAGGAAATCCGTGTATATTACTGCTAAGAATATACATTTCCATTATGGAAACAGTACAGAGGTTTCTTAAAAATTAAAATAGAAGCCCTCCTTGGTAGCACAATGGGTCAGAACACAGCACTGCAAGCAAGCCGCAGCAGCTTCAATACAAGTTTGATCCTGGCCCCCGAGGAGATCCACATGGCGCGGCAGACCTCTCCTGACCCGCCCGCTGCTCCCCTCAGCAGTGTACTTCGTCCATCTGCCTGTTCTACTCCTCACTCTGCCTCTGCTGAATCCTCTCACTGCCCCTGCACCTCTGGCCTGTACCCCAGTTCTGCAAGCAGAAATAAATCTTAAAAAAAAAATTAAAAATAGAACTACCATATGCTCCAGCAACCCCACTTCTGGGTATATTTCCAAAGGAAATAAAATCAGTATCTCAAAAGAATATCTGTACTGTCATGTTCATTGTCAATTACTAACCACAATTGCCAAGATATAGAATCAGCCTAAAAGTCCATCAACATGTGAATAAAGAAAATGTGCCATATATTTCACAATATTTCATTGTGTATCCATAATACTAAGTGTAATATGCAATGAATCATTATTCAGCCTTAAAAAAAAAGAAGAAATCCTGACATGTGTCATTTGCAGCAACATGGATGAACCTGGAAAACAGATGTTACGTGAAATAAGTTGGGCACAGAAAGACAAATACTGCATGAGTTCATTTATATGTGAAACTGAGAAAGTCAAACTCAGAGAAGCAGACAACAGAATGGTGGTTTCATAAGCAGGGAAAATGGGAATGCTGTTGGTCAAAGAGTACAAAGCTTCAGTTAAACAAGGTAATTAAGTTCTGGAGATCCAAAGTGACTATAATTTTTAATATTATATTATACATTTTAAATTTGCTAAGAGGATAGATTTTAAGGGTTCTCACCACATACCCAAAACAGGTCACCATGTAAGCTGACAGATAGCATGTTAACTAACTTGATTAAGGCATGTGTATATACAGGTACATATGTATATATGTCAAATATCACAACATGCACTATAAATTACTATTTGTCAATTATATCTCAAAAATGATAGGGGGAAAAAACAAAGGTCAGCTTCCTATACTCATTACTATATTCTGAACAACAGCAATGTAGTCAATAGTAATGTTTGAGCCAAAATAATAATAATAATAATGAACTATATCTTTATACCCAAGATCCCCACTCCTCTCTCTCTCATCAGTCTGGTAATGGGGTAATAGATACTGTATAATTTGAATACAGCCAATAGATTTACAAGGCACTATAGTCAAGTCTACAGGTTCTTTCCTACTTGACAAATTTATTTTTCTGACTGCAACAATAGAAAATTCTTAACATTTTGAATACCTGGTATGTTCACTTTTTCAGTTTTTTGTTTATTTACTTACTGGCTTATTTTTAGCTTAAAGCAAGGGGGAAATTAGGAAATATTTGTTTCTATTTTTTAAAGGTTCCTTTTACCCCTAATAACATGATTTCCATTTTATGATATATTATTGCTGACTACAAGGAAAGCAAACAGAAAAGATCTGAAACTCAATTAAGATATATTACTGCTCTGTAACACTCAATAGTATACCTTCATACAGATCAAATCCAAACCGTATATCCTTTTAAGTACAGAATAATCTCAAGGACTTTCTGCCAAAAATTATTCTGACTTCTTTACATATGAATATGACACAGCCTTTCAGAAAACACATGTCTGATAAAATAGAACTGAAGATGGTCTACATCAATAAGCATTGAAAATTATGTCACAAAGCTTTTTGATCTACAGACTCTGAAATTGTATGCTTTGAATAAAGAACACTTGTTGCCAAAAAAAAAGTTCTTTGAAACCTTCACTAATGAAAGCAATAAAACTAATGAAGCTATTGTTATTGATTTATTTTGTTATACTTTTGATCCCATTTCTATATAATGTTTTCACTAAAAAATGTAAAAGTTGTCAATTGGTTTTGCTTTGTATCAGCTATAGCTTAAAGGTTATATATTCTACCAAAACTGAACAATCATAATTTTGAGGTCATACATTTTGGAGTGTACTTACTATCAAAGAATACTTATGAGCCAGCAAAAGAAATACTGATCCTATTTAGTAGGTCAATAAAAGGTATACATCACTTTGTTATTTTGTATCTTCTAAAATATTATATAAATTTCAGATTTTTTAAAACCTGAAGGTTACCACAACCTATACGATCACTGGTGTTGTTATTTTAGTGTAAGATTATTGATGTTATTTTCTTACTAAACTGGATATCCTGTCAAGTTCTGAGAGGTGCATAAAGTATGCATAAAGATACAGGAGAAAGCTAATATTAGGATATGTAAAGGGGTGTTTGTGTGTGTGTGTGTGTGTGTGTGTGTGTGAGAGAGAGAGAGAGAGCGAAAGAGAGAGAGAGAGCTTATAAAGAAAAACACAAAATTTGGGAGAAAGAAAAGGCTAAGTTGTCATGGGTCTTTACATATATTCTAAATGGAAGTATTTCCTTCCTTGGTCTAGGAGTACAGTTAAGAATACAAAGGAGAGTTAAAGACGCTAAGGACTGACTAGAGGATATAAAACAGTTCAATACTAAATTATGCAAAGATATGACAGCTCCTATCACATTTAGCTATCTTTATAGCTCTTCAATGTTATAAATATACAGTTAAACTAACATGTCTTATTAATGACATAAGGCCAAAATGATATGGGTTGATTTTAACATACTTTGTATTTACTAAATACCCAAATGTTATATGTACATCTCTTAGAAAATGGGAAATATGCAATATATTAATTCTAAACATATTCAGAATAAAAACCAGGTTAATCATTTTTTTAAATAAATATTTCTTGTCATGAGAAAACTTGCCAGTCCCCAAGTTTTTACTACCTTGTCCCTATTTCAGTATGTGCAGGATCTGACAATGATCACCAGCAGCCTCAGACAGAGTAATATTACTGCTATAAATTAAAGGGATGATTTTAGCAAAACTCTCATTTTCACATTTCTAGCACCTACCTCCAGGCCTACGCATATTTCTGTCAAATCTTAGGTCTATGTAAATTTGCAAACCAGATTAGATGTGATTCTCAAAAATATATTACACATCTATTAAACTACCTGATTGGCTGCAAAAACTGGAGCAGTTCCTTTAGGAGTCTTCCAAACAAACTCTCTTTGATATTCAGAATTTCTCAAGACATTATGTGAAGGAACAACATTTAATCCAGCTTTCCTCTGAAGAACTCTATCCAACTGTTAGGAACAAAAAAAAAAAAAATCCCACTCAGTCATAAAAATTTCTATTCAAACATTTACTGTGGCTAAGTAAAAAAATACAAAATGAAGTCTAACCTCAAATAATTTGCAAGTCAATAAGATCTGGTTAACTATATGCACATTTTTAATTGATAATGTCCCTCACAAATCACAAACTAAAACTACTTTCTTAATACTGTCAAGTCATTATTATGCTTCCCCCCAAAAGATAACATCTCCCAGTCCCTTTCTAGCAATTAATCACCATTAAATCTATAACTAAAAGCAACAGCACCTTGCCTGATGCACACACTGTTTCTGGGACACCCCTTCCTTGCCACCAGACTTACACATCACCTTCCTTCATTCCCCTGTGCCCCTGGTTTTTGCAAAAAGCCACAGATTCTTCTTCACTTCTAAATGTCTCTCTGTGATTCCAGTCAGCGGTGGACATGAAGTGGGGAAGAGGCAGTGGAGGGCAGGAGGAAGTGAGATGTCTCCACAGGCCCCTGCAGCCTCTGCTTATGTGCTCGCACGGTCCTTCTGCAGGCCAGCTGTGACATAAGAGAGCAGAACTGCCAGATCTTTGAGACCCAGCCAGAACACTCTGTCCTTTTTCATTTTATCAACTGAGATTCCATTTGTTTTCTCGCTGGTACACAAAAAGAAGTTGAAAAGAGCCTAGGTAGAAGTCAGCTCACTACGGCTGCCAGATGTAATGGCTTACTCCCCCCTTCTCTGTCTCAACTTGATCCCTCCCTTAGGACTCAGGTGCTGATATACGAAGAATAAAATCCAGAGGAAGGATGTCCAGGCAATGAAAGGATATCTCAGAATAACCAGTGCAAAATGGCAATTATTAAGAATAGAACTAATTCATAATAACTAAAGTCAACAACCTCTTATGAACAATTATATGGGCATTAGACTAGAAAACAATGGGAAATTTTTAAGCACAAAAAGCAATAGTGATGAAATCCACAAGGAATTCTGTGCTTTTGAAGAGAAAAAGCTTGTAAGCCTACCCCATTATCTGTATTTGCTGGAAGAAGCTTGGTACAATGTTCCAGTTCCACATTTTCATTAACTGGCGTATGGTTTGCTGTTACATCCTCATTATTCTCCACAACAGCTGTAGCCCCATCAGCACTGGAGTCTGCAGAGTGAGGTCTGGTTCTCTTGGGAACCCTGGGGGCTTCTAGTGCAAGGACTCTTTCTTGGTTAACATCATCTTTTTGTTCTGCTTCTTGTGATTCTGGTGTTTCTGGGGCTTGTGATATAACATCATTCTCTGAGATAGGTCCATTCCACTTAAGAGATTTTGAAATCTCTGGGTCATGGTAAGGAACTCTTCTTTTTGAAATAAAACTTGGTTCTCTTGTGATTCCTACAAAATATAATACACAAACATAGCAGCTATCAAAGCATAGAATTATATAGGCAACTTGAATAATACCTAGAAGAAAAATGAAATTTAAAATTCAGTTGAGATACATATACTATCCTTCATGTTACAGGATTAAAAACCTATGGCTTTTAAACATATTTTGCTTTAAAGAAATATTATTAAAAGTTTGACTTAATTTTCTTTTAATTGGGGTCACTATGTTTGAATTACCTGAACACCAAGTCACAGGTATTGCAATGTGATGGGCCTGGCAAGCCAGTCAGTACCTGTTGTCTCCGTTTCTAATTACTTTCCTGTGCTACTTATCGGAACAATGGATGGGCCTTGGTATTGTCAAAATTTGGAACTTTTCACAAAGCTTCTCTTATGTAGAGCAGACTAAGATGAGAAGGGATGAGATGTCATTAGGCTGGACCTTAGTTCTACATTTGCCTTGATTTCCTGAGAATGAATGAGAATGGATCCTTTCAGCAAGAACTACGATACGAGTCTCTATATTTCTGTCTGGCAAGCAAATGTCCAAAAATTTAACCTTCTACCCAAGTAAGAGGAGCTCTGTGGAATGAGTCACTGAGATACTGCTCCAGTTTGAGGCCATTCCTAGAATAGAAAGAAGACTCTGTGGGGTGGGGAAGAAACATTTAAGAATAAAAGGGGGTGAGAGGGAAGGTGGGCAGAAAATTTGGCATAAAGTAGCCTCCAGTTCTTTGGCCTCTACCATAGAGCTTAACCACTGAACCAAGGGTCCCCACCCTTATGCTTCAAACTAGAAGGCATATAAGGACATTTCAGGGAGCAAACAAGCAGCTTTCAGGGATCCTTCTCCAGATCCGGCGTCCATATGTGCTCTCTCCTGACGCTGATCTGCCCAAGAGCTGCATCTGCCATCTGGAGTTTCATCCCTCACCGCCCCTTTGGTAACCTTTTCCCCAGTCCACACAAGGTAGGCACACTGTCAAGCAGTCCCAGGAAGTAAAAAAGAGATGTCATAGGTAGACAGGAAGAACAAAGGAGCCATACAAGAAAGCATTAACTCCTAAGGGAGAATATTTGACAACAAAGCACAGAAGGCAGAGATTAAAAAAAAAAAAAAATTACAAAGGAAGAGCATTCTATTTCACCCAGCTCCACAACTTCCCCAGATACCTTTCTTAGTATTTAAAATCATCTGAAAGAGGCTTGTCACCTGATATGTATATAAACAATAATATATCCACCTGAACTGAAAAACAAAATTAGACCACTTCTCACAAAAATTATAATTTGCCTAATTAGTGTTACCAATTAGTCATGATTATACCCAATTATATGATAAATAGTTACCACGGGCTGAATAAACTTAATTGGCAGCTCTAAAGTTTTAACTACCTGTATGGATATAACATACTCAGCATTGAATATACTAGAAACTACCGTGTGAAATTATTCATGTTCATAAAAAAAAAAAAAATTCAGTATCAACTGAAAAATGTAAAAAGATACAAAGATTTTCTAAAGTCTTTTTATGGAGTAAGAAATCAAAAGCATCTTAAGATCACTGCCCTAGAATTCTCTTCTGTTTTAACACAGAGCGAAGCTTCGGTAGAAAAGCAAAGGAAAGGGGATAATTCTCAGGTGGCCTGTCCTTGTCCCCAGCACCAGCAAATGGCAGGGGAAAAGCACGCTGTGTTAAAAGAACACCCTGCCAGTCCTAGGTAACACTGCTATTAAACCTTGCGGGCCGCCACCTCCTTTCTCAACATCTGGGAACCTCACTGAGACGCACCTCATATTCCTTGTTAGCAGGCCTCTCCCAAACCATTCCTTCCTTCAGAATGAACCAGAACCCAAGTAGCTTTGCTCCCACCATCTTATTTCATCACCACTACCCTCAACTGTATCTAGCCTAGACAAATGTTATGGGGACAACTATCTGGTTAAGCAAATCCCCAGTGTCATAATATCCCTTGCTAGGCCCTCAGTGGGTTATCTACAATTTGAGAGTTGAACTTTGGATTCTTAAGCTAATGCAGTTTCAAATTTGTGGTCATTTGGAGAGAACTGTAAGCACCACCTTGCCCAGGACAGAAGGACTCTCAACCTTTGAAGTCAGACTCTGAGCAAAGGATCCTGATGCTTCAAAGGAACCTGAAAAGAACTACCCACTCTAGTCCACGCTTCCCTTCATTCTCCACATCTAATGCTGGAAATGCTCTTCACCTGACTAGTCTTCCAGGCCTGGCACCCACACATGGGTCTTTTCTTTGATTCAAACATCTAACATTTGAGGGCCTTACACAACATGCATCAGGCACTGTCAAACGCAACACATATGGAACATGAAGCACTCTTCTGTATATACACATTGGACTTAACTGGCAACACTTCATTTAATCCCTTCCAACAGTCTAGCACAATGGGCATCCTAATTCCCTTTTGGTGAAACAGGTATAATATGCCCAAGGCCATACTGATAATATGGATTCAAATTCAGGTTTTATTCATTTATTCAAAAATCAGGTATAATAAACACTAAAGTGTGTCAAGACCTTGTGTCAGATATTGGGCAGGGGCAGGTGAAGACAGAGTCACAATCTGAGTTCTTATATTCTAGTAAGAACTGACTTTTCTCCCCCTCCACCATGCTTTGGCAAGTCTTGGTCTAGGGCTATGACTTCCCTGGGATATGGGAGAAAACATGTATGACAAGAATGTGGTTTTATGGGCTTTGAACAAAACAGACCATTTCAAATCAGGGTTCTGTGTCACTGTGAACTTCGAACAAGTCAGTTTATCTCAGCTTCTAGAACCCGGCGTGGGAAGGGAGCATACTTCTCCACAGGCTTGTCCACTCTCAACTTTGACATCTCCATTCAAGCATCACCTCTTCAGAAAGGACTTTCCTGGCTATCAAGCTAAAGTGTATTTCCTCTAGTCCACCCATCCCTTAAGTATCAATCACATAAATCTATAATTTTATATAATAACCAAAAATCCCTTCGTTTTATTCAGTTTCTTGTTTACCATTTTTCCTCACAGTTATGAGTATTTGTCTAGCTCAAGGCTATCTCCCTAGAAGCTGGGGATGATCCTGGCCTCTAGGAAACTATCAATAATTATTATTTAATAAATCAGTGAGTCAATCGGGACAACTGAATAATGCTTTACAGTTTTTTTTTTTTGAAAAATTAGCTATACAAACTTAACCCAAAAGTTTTATAAAGTTATAATGACTTAGCTTATTCAACTTACCTAATTGATCTGATCTAAGTCCAGCCCAAGGATACCTTTGCCCCACTGAGGGATTACAGGACTCTGACAAATACGACTTTTTCCACAGAAAGTTTCTCTGGTATTCACTCAATCCCTGTAATGCAAAGTACAATCTGAGTACAATGCAATTGATAAACATAGTTTCAAAGCAGTCATAGTAAAAATAATTTGTGGACCCCTAAGAGGAGTTGAAGGACTTAAGATTGATAAACACAGACAAGCTCCTTAATAATAGCTAATATTTTCCCAGCCCTGCGTTAAGTGGTTTACACAAGTTCTATCCTTTAACCCTCACAACCACTCCAGGCAGACGTTGGCAGAAATCCACAGTTCAGAGTGGCTGCCCTTTCAGCTAGATGCCAGGATCCCCAAACCTGAGCTCCTGTCTAGAAACAGGTGACAATCACTAAAACTACCCTAAATTCTCACCAAGTCCCCAAAATTATGTCTGGTGCCTAGTAGCTTTCCAACTTTTAAAGTCAACTAAAGACGGGCAAATTCCCCTCCCGTTTTGGATACAAGCCCTTAGAAGAGGAGGCAGGGTTTGTGGAATGCTGCTCTCAACTTACTGAAGGGTTGCTTGGCCCTGACAGCTCACCCTAAGCCCATGCACAACAATGAAAAACGTGTTTCTTTTATCCTATCTATCTTGTCATGATCTCATTTCTCAAGTCTTCAAATGACACACGTTTTCAAGTTTTAAAGGGAAGGGAGGAGGTTAAACGCTAAACAGTGAGATGATCACAGATGTCCCAAACTGAAGCCCCTTCAGCACGATTTCAAAGTGCCCTCCTCTCTCTCCACTCCTTTCAGTCCTACACAATAAGCCTATGTCAACACTATTTAGCTCTTCCACACGGTCATTCGAAAGTGAGTGTGAGCTGAGAGGAAGCTATGTAAGAGGAGATCGACATCCTCCGAGAACGTGGCACGCAGGGGCGCGACGCGGAAAGCCAACGCGGCCCCGGCACGAAGCACCCGCCCCGCCACGGCTCCCCACAGTCAGGTCCGGAGACCTGGGCCTCACCTTGAAGCGCACCGGCATGTCGCCCGGCGCTGGAGCCCCCGCCACTCCGACAGTTAACGGGACAAAAAGCCCCGAGGGGGCGGGGCGACAACAGTCGGTTCCCTAGCAAAAGCTCCGGCCGGGCGTCCCAGACTACGCGCCGACGCAATCCGTGCTTCCCTCCTTGAGTCCTGTCGCTCTGCCTTTCCCCTCCCATTTTGAAGCTAACAAACCAATCGTGACTCGGAGAATCCCTTGCGTCACTAAGATTTGACCAATCAATGCCCGAAAGGATAACCGGCCTCGGCAGCCGCATCCAGAGGACGAAAAAAGAGGCGGGAGCAAGACCGGCCAATAAGGCTCCCGGAACTTAGGTGGGCGGAGCCCCGCGGGAGCTTCGTTCTGAGCTCGGTTCGAAGGCCGCTTGGGCAGCGGCTCATGCGTAACAATAGGTCTGCGTACTGATGACATTCGTGTGTCCCAGGCCTCCCTGGACCTAGGTCCTTGACGTCATGAAACATGAAGGTGTGTTCTTAATTCCAAAATGTATGCGGAACCGAATGTGTGTTATTCTGAAATGAAATGTTCTGATCTATTCACCATTTCACCATCAGTTCTTACAGCCAACAGCCACCATGCTCCATGCTCCAAGCTCTCTTCTCAAAAGGGTTTAAAAATATATATATATATATATATAATGGCTTAGGCAGGCTCGAAAAAAATATTGATTCTTGAAAGGCTTACTACTGACTTCCAGTGATGTTCTTGTTCTTGCCTCTGCTTCCCACAACTTCCCTCACACCCCCTCCCCAGTTAAAAAAAAAAAAAGATAGTCTTAGAGACCGTTGATACTTATGTCTCAACTTCTTAAATTCCAGCCTTATTTTTAAAAGTCATTTTAAAAATTAAAATTCGGAAAGATAAATAAGAGTAAAATTCTGATTTTAATGGACTCTTGTGCTCATCACGAATATCTCATGAAATTCTACCACTGACAGCACACTATGCTGACCTTGAGGGTGGGAAACAAAAACTATCCAGACAGTGCTCTAGTATATTTGGGCAAAATGAACACATGTTTATTTAATCATATAACAAGTGATATGCTAAATTTCCAATAAGAAATGTAAGTGATAACGGCTATGGAGCTATTATCCCTTAGAACAGAGACGGTCAGAACAAGCCTCAGGAAAATATACATCCAGGCTCAGCCTTGAAGATTAAAAATAAAGAAAAAGAAAAATGGGGAGATCAAAGAGAGATGTCTGAATGGAATGCTGCCAGGTTTCTTCCAGGAACAATGAATATGGTGCCTTTTATTTTTTGTCATGTGTTGACTGAAAAAAAAAATACCCTCTTTTAAACTCAAAAATTAATACCAACCCTTGATGCTCTCTTTTGAGCATTTTCTGCAAAGGCTTGTCTTTCTGAATTCTAATTGATGTCTCTGTTCTTCTTCCTCATCATCACTGAGATACTGAAAAATTCATTTTGAAGGAGCTACCTGATATCTGAAACAAAGAGAATATTAAATTAGTCCCTATGGAGCCATGCAGGAGGGTGGGGGGCCTTGATAAATGTTAATTGGTGATGACAGCAACTCTGTCATGTAAATTAAGGATGGCACAAACAAGACACTGTAAAACATCAAACACTACTCCTCTGCAGGAAGGCAGCCCAGATCTTACAGGGTGGGGAAGGAACCTCTCTAGTTACACACAGCTTTGGACCACACAATTCTAAAGTGAAATCAGCAAACGCAAGCATGTAGAATGTAGCCTGCCTGCTAAGCAAGGGCAGTGATAATTGCAGTAGAGTTCTGCTAAGCAGGAAATAAATGATAAGAAAACCAAGCAGTAGATGGTAGAAATAATTTAGTGCCAATGTAAAGAGTTTGCCGAGCCATGTTATAGGAACTCAAGGAAGAATAATATTTTATTTTTAAACAAAAACCTACCCCAGTTTATGAGGCAAAGATATAGATATTTTTAAAAAGGCAACCTTAGTAAATTACAGTTTGTAGCATGTGTTTTACCAAACCTTATTTTCTCTGCTACGGCAGGGAACAGACCCAGTGCCCTACAAAGTTCCACCCTAGTGGTCTGGGGAGTCCCAGAAAGCATCTCTCACAAGTGCTTATGGCTGCCAATTATAGCATGCCTAGCAGTCCTGCCTCTTTTTGAATAGCTACACATCTGTAGGGGTCGCTGAGATTGCTGGCCAGCTCAGCCCACTTACTGAGGACTGGGTCTCTACTGGACAAACATGAGGTCTCCTCAGATTTCCAGCCCTGCTCTGGATCTGTGAATTAGTGCTTCTCTCCCTCCTCCCTGCTTATTTTTGTTGCACTTTATGAACTGGGTACCAAAGAAGAGAGAACATTTCCACTTTTGTGGAAAAGTGCTGCGGCTTGAGCTCAGGCTTGACTCCCAGACCACTAGTGTAGGATCCTAAGTGGGGGTGGTAATTTCCAGAATGCACACTGGCCAAGGTAAGGTAGGTCATACATAACCTCCATTGACTTTCAGTTTGTATTTCAGATAGAGAAGGTGTACATACGATCTTTATGGAGAGAAAACCTCATATTCACTTGCTTTTAAAAGTTTTATTTCTGTTACAGGGAAGATAGACATCAAAAGTGATATCATTTCTCAAACACCATGCCTATTTGTATTAAAACTCGCTCAGTTTACTAAATAAAATCAAGATATGCTGGTTCTATAGTAAAAAAAAAAAAAAACAAACAAAAAGTCCAGGAAATGTAGGTCAGAAAGTAATTCCTCAAGTGCTAGAGCTCATTCTGTGCTTAGCTGAGCTTCTCTCTTCCACCAGGTAAATCCCTCTTATTGGTCTAAAATTTTATTTGTTATTTAATGTATTTATTTTTTATTATGATTTTTTAATTGAGATGTTAGTTTACAACACTAACATATTTTTTTTTGCTTAACTTATACATATATGTTTTAGAGTTACAGGTTCTATATGTTATCATAACACATTCACCACCAAAGTCCTGTTCATCACCATGGCCCTCTGATCCTCTGTCTGCCTTCCCCAAACTTTCCCCATTTGGTAGCCTCAGTTCTGCTGTCAGATTCCAAGGATGTGTTCTTGTTTTGTTTTAATGCTACCTCACTTTGGTTTTTTCTGTTTGTTTGTTTGTTTGTTTTAATGTTATACATATATATGTATTTTTTAGAGATTTATTTATTCATGTTTACAGAACCGGGGTGCAGGCCAGAGCTGTGGTAGGTGAAAGGCTTCACCAGAGACACAGTGGGGAGCAGAACAGGCAGATCTTCTGAAATACACTGCTGGGGGAGCAGCAGGTGAGTCAGGAGAGGTCTGCGGGCGCCATGTGGTCACCTCCCTGGCTGCAGTGGCTTCAGAGAGCTTCATAATGCAGCGCACCTGTTGCACCACCAGGGAGAGCCCCACTTTGTTTTTTAATATTCCACATATTAGTGAAATCACCCAGTGTTTGTCCTTCTTCTTCTGATTTATTTCTCTTAACATAATCCCCTTCAGTTCCAGCACATTGTCACAAGTGGCCAGATTTCACCTTTTAATAGTTGAACAGTATTCCATTTTGTACAACTCCACCCTTCTGTCACTGTGCACTTGGATCATTTCCATAACTTGGCTACAATGTAAATAGTGCTACCATGAGAAAAGAAGTGCATATATCCCTTCAAATTAGTGTTCTTACATTTTTTGGGATAAATCCCAACGAGCAAGATTGCTATTCCACATGGTAAATATATTTTGAATACTTTGAGAAACCTCCACACTGTTTCCCATAGGGACCAGACCAGTCCACATTCCCACATAGAGGGTCCTTTTTCTCCACATCCTCATCAAGACTTGTTGTGTCTGGTTTTTTTGATATGGGTCATGTTCTCTGATGTGAGATATCTCACTGTGGTTTTGATCTACGTTTTGCTGATAATAAGTGATGATCAGCACTTTTTCAGATGCATGTTGAGTCCTTTCTGGTGCAAGTTTGTCATGTTTGGCTCCCTCTTCCCTTTGTTGATGTCTCTGTTTTCCATGTAAATAAATTTCTGTTTATTGCTCATAAGAGACTAAATTGGCATAACATCTTATAAAGGTCAATTTTACAGTCCTTTTCGCCTAGCAGTTCCATTTTAGTAAATTAGTCTTACATATATACTTACCCATATGTAAAGAAAAAAAATCACTTGTTTGTGTACTGCATTGTGTCTAGTAACAAAAGTTGGAAGGAATGTAAACAACTATTAGTAAGGTACCAATAACATACTTTCTGGTTCCTCTAGGACCCAGAGGAAGAACAGGCAGTGAGTCAGAAGGCAGTGCAGGCTACTCTGCTCCTGCAGGTGGACTCACCTCCCTTCAGGTACTTTATCCATCTGAATTCAGCTGGGAAAACAGCCTACCCAGGGCATTCCAATAAACAAAGCATCATACAAGCTATTGGCTAATTAGTTATCGTAGAACTTGAAAAGCTGCAAGGAGGCCTTAGCTGCTAGCTGCTAGGGTTCCTGAGACTCACCATGCTTTTACCCTTCTGCTGGCCATTTGCCTTCTCGGCTAGTCATGCTGGAGCATCTGAGCCGCGACCCACACAAATGGCCTACAAGGGCTAGAAGCTCACAGAATACATGTTTCGGGAAATTGTTCTTTTGTTTTCTAGAGTAGTTGAATTTATCTGCAGGCATGTGGCTGAACCGTTGGGGTGAACTACCTTATAAAGTCATGGTCGGATTTGCTGTCTCACATTTGCTGATGCTTCCTCCATGGTCCGCTGATCTCTGGCCCACCTTGAGCAGTAACTTGGCCAAGACTAAAGCGCAGGAGATAAAAACCAGAGAAAGAAAAGTTAAGAGGCATGCTAAAAATAATTGATTTGGGTTTTCATAATTTGGTTTTTGTTACTGAGCCTGCTTTTTGTGTGTGAGAGTTTAAATTGTTCTCATATCCAAAATGTGAGTTAAAAACCACCTATGCTTTTACAACACAAGCTATATTTAGATTTGGTCTCTTTTTTTCCCACTTTCAACTCAGTTGGGTTTTGATTTATAACTATTTCCATAATCATCCTGCAAAATAGAAGCC